TCTGTCTCTGGTGAATCTTCTCACCCTCCGCATCTCTGGCCTGTACCCCAGTTCTATATGAATAAATAAATAAATCTTTAAAAAAACAAAACAAAACAAAAAAACAAAAAACAGCACAGGGAACTCTGTGCTGACCAGATCTCCAGATCACTACACCTGATTAAACCTAGGGATCTACGGCTCAGCTCTTTGTTTAGACACTTGAAGCTTTCCCATATTTACCTCACAAACCTTCACAAATAACCCAATTCCACCGACCTCTCTGGGCCTCCAAGAGTGTCTTAATTTTTCAGCTCCACCATTCAGGTGTCAGGTGCTTTCCCCTAGAAGCAGTGTCTTACTTCTGTAGTCATTCCCATGGGAATAGGGAAATTTGGAGAAATTCGGACATACCTTCCTCTGCCCAGGGGCAGACACAAAGTTCATGGGGCCTTACCACCTTGGAGTCCTCCAACCTACGGATTATGGACTCTGTCTCCAGAAAAAATGTGTGAGTGCACACACACACACGCACAAATCTTACACCTTGTTCAGGAGAGCTCTGTGGACGGGGGTGCCATGGTCAAGAAGCACCATACTAGCTTTTTCTGGGCCTGCCACCCAGTTAAGCTGGTTAACCTCTGCACTCCTGACAATCTGGGATGGATAATTTGCTGTGTAAGAGGGGCCGGCCCGTGCACTGAAGAGGCTGAGCAGCACCCTTGGCCTCTACCCGCTAGATGTCAGCAGTGCCACCTCACAGTGACAACCAAAATGCCTCTCAGGACACAAAGTTGGCCCTGGCCAAGAACCCATGTTGAGCTATTCTGGAGACTTCCTGCAATGAAACAGGTCAGTTTCCCTTCAGATTCTCTTCCCAGCAGAAGGCCTGCAGAAGCGCACATGACACATGTGCTCCCAGTACCTTTTCTGCACGATGAGGTTGATGTTGCGCAGCGCCACGTATTGCAACTCAGGTTCAGCCGACAGCAGCGTGACCAGTGGCGGGGCCAGCTTCTTGAGCAGGGTGCCATAGTAGTCCAAGTCCTTGGACAACATCTCCATGAACTTCATCAGTACCTTCACAGCAGACAGCACCACAGCGGAGTTGGCATGGGAAAGCCTAGGGGTGACTCGCTCACAGATGCTGGGGTTTATTCCAAGGGGGGCAATGAGGAAAGAGAGACAAGAGAAACATCCTGCTTTTAGTTATCCAGAAAATACAGCTTTCGTAGGAGGAAGATCTGGTCCTATTCCTGCTTACTGCTAACTTATACAAGCAGGTTAAAACTACTTTGGGCCTAAGCCCCTAAAAGACCAGGTCTGGCCTGGCTGGCAAACAAGGTGCAACTTGCTTACCTCTGGGCCTCCCGGTCGTCCTTGGGTGCATAGTTGGCCAGGCAGTCCAGGATGAAGATCTGGCCCCACTCAGTGCACTCATTCAGGGCTGTCAGCAGCTTGTTGATGGACTGTGGGTTCAGGTCAAGCAGGTTGCTGCTGGGGTGAGACTCAGCAATCTCTGAGAGGGCAGCCACTGCATTTGCCACTACCTGGAAGGACGGAAGAGGCAGAAGCTGGGGGCACCACTCAAAAGCCAAGAGCCAGGAGAGTTAATGATACTGGCCCCTTAGAACTGAATATCCTGGGCCCTTCCTGGTGGTACAACGAGTTAAAGCAAGCACTATGATGCTCTCCGCAGCCACTGCAGCACGAGTTCAATCCCCAGCCAGGGAGCTGACCCACATGGTGCAGAAGACCTCTCCTGACCCGCCCGCTGCTCTTCCCAGCGGGCTTATTCTGCCCTATTCTGCTTCCCACTCTGTCTTTGGTGAATCCTCTCACTCCCCATACCTCTGGCCTATACCCCAGTTCTGTGTGCATAAATATATAAATCTTAAAGAAAAAAAAAAGAAGTTGAAAATCCTGAAAGGAATATTAGAGCCAACATGTAGGGTCTGAAGCATTAAGAATCACTCCAGTATCACCCTACTGACTTATCTGTAAACTGGAACTAAAGTAAACGCACCCACCATTAACAAAAAGGAGACCAATAAAACCCCCCAAAATACCAAGTCCAAGTGCCTGGCAACAGAAAGCATTTTGAATCACCTAACACATAGCCCCTGTCTACCAGCTGCAACAGGTCACTTCAGGGCTTGCCAACTGTGCTTCTCAGAACTAGATTCTTGCAGAATCCCTTAAAACTGCCATATGGGGACTGAGGTACACAGGAGCTTCCCAGGTGAAGCTCTGGGCCCCCAAACCACTTCAGCAGAGCAGCTGTATCTATGTGTCCTGCATGGATTCCAACTTTTCCTGAATCAAACAGTGCCCCAGTAGGCAGCCCTGTATCGGCTCCATTGTTATTAGCATTTCTGTGGGACAGCTGAGCCAAGGGGTTGGCTCATTTAATCTCAAACAGGCCCTGCTGAACTGGCCTCCAAACTGCTGCCGCTGTCGCATGAGGCATGAGTTCCTACCCAGCATGTTCGGGTGCTCTCTTCTGGCTATTCTAATTCAAGGGTGACCCTCTGTATTTCTGAAAGATGTAGGGAAAGGTAAAAACACCTCACATTCACAGCTAAGAAGAGTCTTGGTGATAAGACACAGAGACAGTGGCTAGAAAGGGAAGGAGGGCACTAATCTTGGTTACACACCCACTGCTATACCAGTTCACAATTTAAGACTGGCAGAGGGTCAAGCCAAGGTCTTCCTAAAGGAAGAGGAGATAGCACAGTGGGTACCAGCAGTTACCATGGGGTTAGAGTCAGAGATGAGGTCTTTCAGGGTGTCGAGAAAGCCCTGGTCCTCTACCAGCTGGGCGTTGATATCGTGGAGCTTGGCCACACACACGGCTGCCGTCTTGCGCACGTATGGGTCCTCATCCTTTAGGCACTTCCGGAGTGGCTCACACAAGTATTCTGTGATCTTGTCAACGCGGATGCAGCCCATGGTTCGCACAGCCAGGGCTCGGATGAGGGGGTTGGGGTCCTCACAGTCCTAGAAGAGGAACCAGTCATTGGCTGGGGGCAGGGGTGAGATGAGCCGTCTGGAGATTCCGACTCCTCCTTGTCCCAGGGTTCTGAGCAGCTCCTGTGGAATCTCCCATCAACTGTAGCCAATAGCACAAAAAGTGCTACGTATAGGCCTGCAGTATTTGCCAGATTACTGTGCTGGAGCTCTGCATGAATGCCTCTGATTCTCACCGTAGACATACTGTCTGACCCCATTTACAGATGAGGGAGCTGAGGCTGAAACCCCTGATGACCCAGCACCACAGCAGGTCACAGAAACCCTTTGCACCTATCTGGAGAGACTGGGAGCCCTTAGGCTGGCAGTAGGAGCCTGGGTGTTTCTCCCAGGGACACTGCCCACAGCAAGAGATCAAGAGGGAAATAGAGCACTAAGCATCTGCTCCCACCAAGCTCCTACTCACCTTCACAAAGGTGTTGACGGCCATGATGGCCATATCGGGCTGACTCTTGGCATAGTTCATTAAGTACAGGTACACCAGCTTCTTCAGCTCCAGGTTGTCTGTCTGCATACAGTTCACCACATCAGGAAAGAGGGCACTAGAAGGTCAGAGAAAGGAAGAGTCACCTCATCAGGGTGGGAAAACAGTAGATAGGAGGGAAGGAGAAAGGTAACAGAACTTCCTAGTAAGTAGGGCAGGGCTATGCTCTGCTACCAGTAACACCTACTGGTAGAAATGGAATTCAAAAGGATGATTCTTAAAGAAAAAAAAAAAAAAGCCCTGTTTTTTCACAGGATTCAAACATGAGCTCTGGAGCCCATGAGATCTGACTCAAACTCAGTTCTCCCTCTTCTCAGCTTTATGAAGTTGGGAAAATTTCTTTACCTGAGTCTCAGTTTCCATTTGCAAAAAGGCGCAAATAAAATACCCCACTTCATAGGGCCCTTATAATTAGTGACAAAACACTTAGAGCATTTGGTCACTGACTTCTGAGAGGTGGTAAATAAACGTTTTTCCCTTCCGACTTTAACATGGCTGCCTGTCCCACAGAGCTGTTAAGGAAACGGAGACAGACTGTGCTGAGTTGACAAAGGTCAACTCAGGGACTCATTAGGAATTAGCCCAGCAGATACAGAGCATGCATTTAACACCAGGCTTGGTGCTGAGGGCTTTACATACTTGATCTCATTTAACATCCCTGAGAAGCCAGACAATTATTCTGGCTTCTCTGCTAAAAGTTCATAAACGTCAAGTAACCTGCCTGAGGATTCAGGTCTAACGCCAAAGCTCACATTCAAGACCGCTGTTATTGGGGTGGAAACACCTTCAGTACACCGATAATCCCAGGAGCACAGGTCACGGGAGATTTGGAATATGGCCAGTAACTGTCTCTTCCCCTCTCAAATCTTGTGATTTTTATGGGCAAGGAAATAGTAACCCAGAGATCTGAGAGGTCAAAGTGAACTTCCTCAGCCCCATAGGCAGGAGTGCAGTTGGTTGTTAAAGTGACGCATCACCCTGGAAGATGACACACCAGGAAGAAAGGGGGAGGTGACACCACTGATAAGACTGACTTGTTTTTTGGGGTCTGTCACATCAGCACAACATGCTTATTTGAGATGGAAGAACAAAGATGCTTCCTCTCTGAGGAGGTGACACCATTTTCCATCTAAAGGAGAGCAGCTTTGTCTGCAAGGAGTCTGACTTGGAAGGAGACTCAGCTTTCCATACTGGTCCATTTGCCACGCTGTCTCCAACAGGTCTCTCTACAGAACTGTTTCTCCTGTGGCACTGTTAGGAGAGGCCTTATTAGGGTGGCAGTGGAGTCAGGCAATGCATGGAGATGTCCGGATAGCGATACCCTGCCACGGGGCGTGGATGGGAGCTGCTCCGCGTCAGCATCAGGTCTACTGAGCTGGGCTGTGACCACGAGGGCAGGAGGAGGGTACACAGGTCAAAGTACCCTATTTTTAGATTTCAGAAGAGCTGGGAGTGAGTCTTAGTTCTGTCATTCATCTTATGACCATTGGGCAGACATTTCACTCTTTATCTTGTTGCTGCCAGAACTGCCAAAACATATCTGGAATGTTCCGCAGACCCTCATATACTGTACAAGTGCTAAGCTGTAAGATTCAGTCCCTATCCTTGGGGACTTTGCAACATAGTAGGCAGGTAAACACAATACACATAAAAAGGACAATCTAGAACGAGTGCCTGGTGAAAGGAACACAGAGTAAAGGCTACACCTTCGAGGCAATGGACTGGCATGATGAGGGAAGACAACAGAGAGATGGTGAGTCAGCTGTAAAAGATGGAAAAATGAGCTGGGAAACCGGAGAAAGAGAAAGACATTCCAGGCAAGGGAAAGGCATGAACGAAGGCATGTTAGCAATTCTACACATGGCCTGCTCTGCAATCAGATGCAAACCAGAGGTTGCCAACTGGTGACAAATTCAACAAGTCCCATCAGCAAGTTATGTTTTACTTTGTGTTTGTTTAATGTCATCTGGCAATCTGAAACAGGGAAATTTAAAGAGAAAGTTCCAGAATTCCCAATCTTTCTAAAAACTGAAAGACCTGGCCACATGAGGCTCATTTTCCCCAGCCTGCAGCAATCCTCTGTACATGCCGCTTCCATTTTATTGCTTGTTGCCCTTTATGTATACATAAATACAAGAATACACCCAGAGGTGTGGGGGTGAGAGGATTCACCAGAGACAGTGGGAAGCAGAACAGGCAGATCTACTAAAATGCACTGCTGAGGGGAGCATCAGTCAGGACCTGGGAGGTCTGCTGCGCCACATGGGTCAGCTCCCTGGCCAGGGGTCAAACTCATGCTGCGGCGGCTAGTGATAGCTTGATAGTGCTGAGACTTACCCTCTTGTGCCACCAGGAGGCCCTACTCGTGGCCTTTTCAACCTAGTTCACTTTACTTACTCCATTACTGTCAGCAACTGGTGTATGACCACTCTAGAAACAAAACCTTTCTGTTTGGAATGGAGATTTGGGAAGGTTGCTAACAAGGGGAAACACAGGTCTCTGGAGATACCGAAAGGAAAGTTCTGAACTAGATCCAAGCCATAAAGCACCCTGTGGGCCTCCAGCTGTTGTCCAGCCTATTCCTGCACACCTGACATCTTTGCCAACAGTCATTGATGCAATCACTTTCTTCACCGCCTCCTTCTTCTTCTCCTTCTTGTCACTGTTGAGCTCTGCCTTCAGTTCGAAGATCTCCCCTAAAAAAGGAGGCAGGCATGAGCGATCCATCTCCACCCTGCCAGGGGGTGATTCCCAGCCCTCAACTTCCAAAGAATTGGAGGAGGCAAGTAAGACACGCCATGCTGCCAGCTGAGGGCAGCTCCAGAGCTGGCCTCAGGTCAAACAGGCAGCAGACAGAGAATAGCTGGAGAGGAATTATCAAGATGGAGGCTGACAGGTCACGTTGGACTGAGCAGCGAGGAACCATGGAAACTACAAAGGTTCTGAGAAGACAGAAAGTGTGACATTAGGTCCTGCTCAGCCAGATGACTGAAAGCATACATAGGAAAAAGCAAAGTTCTCCTGACCCAAAGTTCTCAAGGCAGCATGTGACGGAATCTAGGAATTTAAAGTTTGAAAGGAGAGGTAGGATTTGCTTGCTTCTCACAAATAAGTTTTCCTGTTTTCTCAACCCTCCAGTAAAATCAGCTCACTCAGGGTTTCACTTCCTGAGCTAGAAGTGGTTGCTCAACTCTGAAAATGGGAATTCAGCTGCTCTAGAAGAGCTCTAACAAGTAAACTGTTTTATAGATTTGATGATCTGGAAAGAGCGAATGAGGAAACAGGGCTGCTGATGGCCTTGTCATGGAGAGGAGGCTCCTGGTATCTGCAATGACAGGCTGAGAAGGCAGACTTTCAGTCAGGCCTCTGGCCTCAACACAACAGCAGCCAGCATTTCCCGATCCTCCTCTAACCTGATGCTGAGCCCAACCCAGTTCATCGCTGCTTCTTTGAAGCTGTTTCTTTGTATGCTCTACCTTGACTGGGTGTTGAATTCTCTCACTTACCACTCAGGTGAAACGCTCATCTCAGTGCCGGGCCCTCAGACTGACATTTGTCTTAAATATCTCTTTTGTAGAATGAAAATTCCCAGTTTCCCTTTCAAGTTACTCAGGGTGGGAGTGAAACAGACTCTGGGGGGGAAGGAGGGAGGAGAAGGAGAGCGGGGAGTGCTGAAGACATTCCAGGTGGATTTATAGTGAGAATAAACTAGCAGGTTTATATCATGACTGAACACTGTATTCGGCAAAGAACTGGAGATGAAAGACAGCGAACAAGGTTCATTAAGAACAATCATGCAGTATCGCCTGGGGCAAGAGCACACTGAGGATTCTGCTCAGCAGAGCTTCAGGAATCTGCAGATCCAGCAGTTCAAATTCAAGGGCCTGTAGGGTTAAAGCCCTTGAAGAGACTGGGAGGGCTGTGTTTCCCCGATATAGGGTCCAACAGACCTTGATGAGTTTGACCCTGGGACCTCAGGGCTATCCTGGCTCTGCTCGAAGTCTTTAACCAGATGCAGCGGAACTGGCCATGACAGACTGATGAGTCACACTGGCCTCAAGAAGGCTGGTGGGGTAAACCTGGCACCCACCTGCTTCCAAAGTCTCCTTCCTCTAATGGGCCCCAATCCACACAGTTACCAAGCCTATTCCCTCAATCACACACAAAACACTAGGTTCCCTGAACACCTAATCCCACAGCCCCATGACAATCCTGCCCTTCTCAAGCACCATCATCTATCTCTCACTGGTCTTTCTGCCTCCCCTCAGTCTTACCTCCTTCAGACTGTCATTAGGATCAGTCTTGGACCACCCTTGCTTAAAACCATCACTAATGTCAGGTTTTAATCCTCAAAAGATGCCTACCAAATCCCCCAACCCCAAAGAAACCCTAGTTTACCCAGCACTATATTTCTCTCCTCTGGGATCTGGCTTACTAGGCCCTGCATAACTGGCCTCTGTACATCCCTCCAATCTTCCTTCTATCACTCTCTTTAGGGTTTTGTGCTCAACTGCTTTTCTCTCTCAAATTAACCAAGAGTAGAGCACTTGCTGCTCTTTTCTCCCTTACTACATCCCCCCTTCGCCAGCTAGTGCCCCCGGCTCCTCCCACCGTCCCCTGCCCTCTGGTATGATTACTACCTAACAGTCTAGACAGTCTCTGCTCCAGCTCCAGCAAAGCCAGGCCCATGGGTCTGTCTCCTCCACTGCACAGGGACGGTGCTCATTATAACCGGCTGCACTAGTAAAAAGCTTAGCGAGACGCAGAGGAGGCCCTGCTCAGCTAACCCAACAACAGACTCTTCACCTGTTGAGCAGGCAATGTGTCAGTCTCACTTGGAAGGAAGGAGGTGGAAGAAGGGTTCTATCATGACGATGCTTATAGGATTAAAGGACATTTGTCAGCCACCATGACAGCTTCCATGTCTAGAAAAGCAGAATAACAATACCCAACAAAAGACAAGCTTAGCATATTTTAGTTCAGCAACTGAGTTGCTAAAACTTTGGGAAATGTTTATGATAATATCAGATGAATAACAGGATATAAACTCTGACTTCAACCACATAAACATATGCTCATGGATAAGGACCAGACACAAACTGCTGTGGGGTTGTGGACAGCATTGTGTGCACGCTTTCCTTCCTCCAGGAAAGAAAAACATTGTATTAAACAATTTTAAGACATGAAGAACAAAAAAAGGCTTATGACATTTGGAGTTCTGAAACAAGTGTCTAATTTTGTACATCATCATCAGTTTAATTTTCTGTACCTACGGTTAAAGACACTGGATAATTCCTATGACTTGCTGCCAGGTCTGAATCCCAACACTACTCCCTACTTCCAAATGAGTAAGCAGAAAGTTCCGGTAAGGAAAGAAGAGTACAAGACCCCATAATGAAATAAACAGTACCTTTTTTGGTCGTGGTGAAATATTTTGAGTCAGTCATTTTGGTCCTTTATCTGTGGTCAGACTCTGGAAGACAGAAGAGAAGGGCGCCTTTCAGTTGTGTTCCATTCCATTCTCAGCTACGGAGCCAGGAGGAGGAGGAGAGAAGTAACCTGCACACATGTGCTACGGGAAGATAAGACAGCTTTTATCTCTTTACTGGGCAAATGAACTGCTACGTAATAGCTGATCAGATTGTGGAGGCATGTCTAAGGACTCTATCAAAGTTCTGAATATGCAGATCCTCTGACCCAGAAATTCTACTTGCAGATCACTTTCCCAGACATATCAAAACAAAGCTACAAAGGTTTTACTATGGTACTGTCTGTACCAATGGAAATACATTAAAATGTCCATCAAAAAGGGAACAGTCAAATATTCTGGAAGAGTCACAGATTAAAAAGCATGTAACCATCACAGGTACAGCTGCCCCTTCGCGGTGCTCACCACTCCCAGCACTGCTCCAAGTGTGCTACACCAAGTTAACTCATTAAAGCCTCAGAGAGGCGCTATTCACTGACTCATGTAGACAAATAAACTTGGAAAATAACCAGTTAAAAAAAAGTAGGGAGGTTTCTTCTGTCTCTGAACTTTGTCAAGCTTCTGAAACAGTAAGTGTTTATCCCTAAACAGGGCTAGACGACTCTAGATACTGCAGAACTCTGTAGAGTATTTCCCAAATCTAACTGACCATTTTCTTAAAGCACTGTAGGACATCTCCCTGTGCAAAACTCACAGTGTAAAGTGCTGTTCTAAGGCAGTAAGATAAAGACCACAGCCACCTGGTTCATTCAGAAAACATTTACTGAGCGTCTGCTACGTACCTCAATTACCTCTTGGTCAACAAAGATGAAAGAAGCTACACAGGAAGCAAGTGTACCCTGAATACACTGCACAGGCTTATGGGATTGTTCCAATATTTAAGAAGCTATCATTTACTGAGCCTGTATTAAAGCCAAGGGCTTTACACACGATCTCATTTAATGAGGCAACCATTTTTTAGCCCATTTTTACAGATGAGAAAACAGACCAGTGATGCTACATAACTTGCCCAAGATCACACGGTTTGTAAATGGCTGGCTGGAGGCCACCTCAGGTGTGCCTGAGCTCAGCACCTATGCTCTATTGATGAAGGAATTCTGCTTCCTCTAACTCAGACAGAGGGCAGAGACCTGATGGTGATTAAGGAATCAGTTCCAAAAGCCATGAGATCTTCTGAAGCAATCTTCCAGTTCTATCTATAGTTTCACATGGTACAGAAAGCCAAACAACAGGCACTTGAATGGAGAAAACTCATTTTGTCTCTCTGCTGCCTCTGAGAAGACTCAAGTGTACCATCCATTAATGTCTTTACTTCATTACTGTGCAGAAGCCAGGTGAAGGTTATTGGTGGCAAGAATGTGAGAGGTCAAGGATCACTTCAGAAGTATCTGTAAACAAAGCCAACACAACTCTCCTCCAGTCCAACTGTTTTTTTTTCTATGCTAAGCATAGATTCATTCGGTAATCAATAGGAAGTAAGAATGCACCTGTCTCAGGCTGCTTTAACTCCTTTGTTGATCCCATTTGAATAAAGATACAGAAGTCTTGCTGACAAAATGGTCTAAAGAGAAAAGACAATCCTACTTTCCCTCTGCTTTACAAGGCTGGAAAGGGATGATTGCACTTTCCTATGGAAGCTTCTGGAAGGAGGAGAGGCTGCTGCATGTGGTGATGACAGTCCCACAGTGGGGGTTCTCTGCTTGCCAGTCCTGGCAGCATGAGTCAGAGTGGGCTGTAGACTGACCCACAAATGGAAGACCCAGGTCCACCTGCAGACCCAGGGCCATAGCTCCGTTCATCCCGACCTTCTTGACTGGCGCAGGGCTCTGCACGTGGCCAGTGTTCCACTGATACTGCTGTGGCCAGTGTTCCACTGATACTGCTGAAATGAAAAGGGCCGTGGCAAACACCAGGATGCCTCAGCCTGCTCACTGACGGTTATGTTATGTGACTGTATAGCATTTGCTTCCCACAGGTGTTTACTTACAATAAAAACTTTTTTTTCCTTGAGTAAACAATAAGCCATTTTCTCAGAAATACTTCACCAACCTAGAGACTCTTTTTGGAGTACAAAGAATGAGCAGGTAAATAAGATGTGTTCCAGAATAAAGGCATACATAGTTTCAGAAGGGAAATTCTTTTTCTTTTTTTTTTTTAGGCTTATTTTTATTTACTTATTTGAGCATACAAGAACTGGGGTGTAGGCCAGAGGAATGGGGGCTGGGGGGACTGATGAGAGGATTCACCAGAGACAGAGTGGGGAGCAGAACAGGCAGATCTACTGAAATACACTGCTGAGGGGAGCAGCAGGGAGTCAGCGGAGGTCTGTTGTGCTTGTCCTGTAGGTCACCTCCCTGGCGGGAGCCTGAACTCATGCTTCAGTGGCTGGTGACAGCTTTACAGTGCTGAGACTTAACCCCTGCACCACCAGAGAGGCCCTCGGAAGTTAAAGTCTTAAGAACATAACTAGCATAACTAGATATGTAAAACAACCTGTTCCTCAAGGTTGTTTAGTCTAAGAAGTGGGATCAATGAAGACCAAAGGGGAAAAGATCACAGGGAGAAGAATCTCAGAAAGTAACATATAAACCCTCCAATGTTAAAACTAAAAGGAAATCAAAGTGAACAAAACTAGTTTAGGTGTCTAAGTTCAGAGCTGCCCAGAAATTCTTTTCTCAAATGGTGGAGATTATCAGGGACTTTTCTCTGAGCACAACACAACATCTGGAAGCTCTAAATTCCTAGAGCACAACTGTGTTGTATGTAACTGACCAGGCCGAGGAAAGAGTGGGAAACCTCCTTTTTGGGAAAATTAAAAAAGCACTGGAGCTGTAGGGTCAGCAAGTCAAACTGGTTATTGACACCCTATGCAGTTGGCACCTTTCCTTTTATAGGTGCTAAGCTTAACTCAATCAGCCAGTGCCGATACTGGCTGCTATTTTTTTTTTTTCTTTTTTGCTTTATCTATTTCACATATCCCTCTGCGGAGGGCCAATGGGACTGATGGTGCAGAAACCATATCCCTCTGAAGCTGTTTTATAAACAACACATTAAAGGAAGAAGAGTAGATGGGAGAAGTAAGAACACTTCTGAAAAGCCACTAAAGAGCACTTAAAGACTTCACTTGGACCCTCCCTGGTGGCATAATGAGTTAGGACACAGTACCGCAAGCCAGCTGCAGCCACTTCAGTATGACTTAGATTCTTAGCCCTGGAGCTGACCCACATGGCGCGGCAGACCTCTCCTGGCCCGCCCACTACTCCTCTCAGCAGTGTACTTCCTTAGCCGGCCTGTTCTGCTCCCCACTCTCTCTCTGGTGAAGCCTCTCACCACCCCTGCACCTGTGGCCTGTACCCCAGTTCTGTATATATAAGTAAATAAATCTCTAAAAATATATAAAAACTTCACTACACAGAAAAATCACTTGAACCTTGTTAATCTACTCAGGGTGGCTATCTCCTTGTGCTCTTTTGCCACAGTTACCTCTCAGATGTTAATGCAAGAGAGATCTTTCATTTCTCTGCAGGAATGGAGAAATCCCTACATCTCTGTCCTGAAGTAGCTCAGATTTGCAGATGCGTTCCCAGCATTGCTCAGCTGTTGCCATACACTGCACCCTACTAATGGAAACCAGAGGAGCTAAAACCTCATTATTTCTCTTCTAATGGAAGCCAAAGGAGCTAAGGTTTCATTCTCTGATGAATCTGATTGTGTACATGAGCCACATTTGAAAGCAGGCAGTCACTAGGTAAGAAAAAGCTTAGGACTTGTTTTCCATCTTTGACTGGTCCAGGGTACATAAAAAAAGCACTAATTAGAGGGAATTTTTGGTTTGGGAACTGTTCTGGCCCATATGATGAGTCAGTTTTGCTAAGGAGAGGCATTCTGGGCTGCAATTTCAGCACTTAAAAGATCAAGAAATGACTCAAGGGAATGGTGCAAGTCAGAGGGGCACATCTGGACAGACTGGTTTTGTCTTCAGGAGCCACTGCCCCTGCCCAGCCCCAGTGAGTCTTCCCACACCCACATTCAGAAGATGACTTTGATGCCACAATCCCAGGACTAGTTCCTACAAAGCTTCACCTTTTTAAAGAATCCTACTGACATGCCTCCTTCCTACTGTGGCCAGGCTTAAAGAACAGGAACTGTACAAAAAAGCCTAAACTAGAGGAGTTTTCCCTTATGTGTTCTACAGTCATTGAGAAGCTCTTGGTGAGAATCACTGACACTGCCAGGGACAGAAATATAATGTAATATAATCTAAGAGTGGAAAATGAGATCCTAGAAAAAAGGGAAAGGAGAAAATTTTCATAAAAATATTCCCACTTGCTGGTGGGAATGCAAACTAGTACAACCACTATGGAAAACTGTTTGGAGGTTCCTCAAACTGCTAAACATGGAGCTCCCCTATGACCCAGCAATC